TGACAATTTTTTCAACTAAATGTGCTTGAATCTAGTCATTTTCCTGATGGCTCATCTCCAAGAAAATGGTGTCGATCATTTGGTAGGTTTCAGGGCTGGATGTGAGTCAGCTCTGAGTCAGGCAGCAGCTTTAGCTGCGTGAAGTGCTGGTCCTCCTGTGCTGGCACAACCTGTGGGGCCGCAGCTCTGCGACAGGCGCTGCTCCTGAGCCTCCCCAACAGCAGCATGTGGGAGCTTAACGCATGGGGCACTCACAAAGCCAAGGGGCAATTCCACAGCCCCACACTTTTGGCTGTTCACCTGCTCAGCACTCGCAGCCTCTGAAGATGGCAGGGTGTGTAAATGATACTGGTGGCAGGCAGGGAGAAGGAGATGGGGGGACCTGTCTTGCTCCCTGCAGAGGTGCCCATCTGACCAGGGGGTGGCCCTCCCCAGAGCCAGAAGGAAGCAAGAAAAGAGCTTTGTCCACAGGCCTCTGTCCCTGGCAGGGTGTTTCTGTTTATATTGACATTTATATTAAGTAGGGTGGTGTCCCAGTTCTCAGGCAGTCAAGAGAAAAGCCAGACACAGCCTTGATGGCAGCAGCCACTGTGTGTGTTGTGCAAAGCAGCGTGACTGACAGGTTCCTCGCTCTCTCTTTGTCTTTCTCTCCCCTTGCACGGCGGTGTGATTGAAGCAACGCCCCGTGAAACAGTCCCTGAGCGCTTGCATGTGCCGAGAGTCCCACTGGAAATGCCTCCTCCTCTCCATCCTCATGTATGGCTGCCTGGGTGCAGTGGCCTGGTGTCAGCTGGCCAGAGTCACCAAGCTCAGCTTCGATAGCTCCTTCAAGGGCAAGTCTATGATCTACCATGACAGCCCGTGCTCAGATGGCTACGTTTATATCCCGCTGGCCTTCCTCTCCATGCTGTATGTGGTGTACCTGGTGGAGTGCTGGCACTGCCACGTCAAGAGGGAGCTGCAGTACAAGGCAGACGTGGACAGCGTGTACGAGTGCATCAACCGCATGCAGCAAGCCACCCCATGCATCTGGTGGAAGGCCATCAGCTACCACTTTGTACGGCGAACCCGGCAGGTGACCCGCTACCGCAACGGTGATGCCTACACCACCACACAGGTCTACCATGAGAGGGTCAACACACACGTGGCTGAAGCCGAGTTTGACTACTCTCACTGTGGATACAAGGACATCTCCAAGGAGCTCCTGGGCTTGGAGAGCTATACAGCCACCAAGCTGAGGTTCACCAAGTGCTTCAGCTTTGCCAACATTGAGTCTGAGAACTCTTACCTGACTCAGAGAGCTCATTTCTTCACGGAGATCGAGGGGCTAGATGACTACATGGAGGTGAGGGAAGGCATGCAGCTCAAAAACGTGGATTTTAAAGAGCTTATGATGGCCTACGGAGACCCGGATCACCTCCCGTGGTACGTGTCCCATTATGCTTTCTGGGTGGCAGCTGTCCTGATGATCTCGTGGCCGCTCAGGGTACTCATAGAGTACCGGACTGCTTACGTCCATTACCACGTGGAGAAGCTGCTGGGCCTGGAGTATACGGCGCCCACGACGGCGGAGGAGCCCTTGTACCGGTACCGCATGCCCCGTGACACCACGCAGGACAGCACCGAGCTGGAGTGGCACATCTGCACCAACCGGCAGCTGATCCCCAGCTACTCGGAGGCCATGCTCATGGACCTGGCCAACTCCCCGGCCTACAACAGCTACACGGTGTGTCGGTACGGCCAAACGGCCCACGGCTGTGAACGCTGCAACCGTGCCTCCAGCACCTCCTCCATCTTCTCACGCCACGCTTTCCACAGCTGCAGCGGCAACTCCCGCCTCTCCCTCAACACCAGCCGCTTCTCGCTCTGCCGCGTCCATGGCTCCCACAGGACAGGCCTCTGGAGGAGCCGCAGCAGCAGCATTGCAGACCGGGGCTGCCAGGACGAGCAGTGCTGCTCCTACTCCAGCCAGCTGGCTGTCAACGAGAACCCCCCAACCTACCACGATGCCAGATTCTTCCCTGTCCTGATCGTGCACAGGCCGGAGGGGCAGGACAGGCGGCATTTCTACATCAGGCGTTCCTCCTGCCTAGAAACCTCTCTGTGACAGGCCTTGGTGGTTACTTGGCTCCTCTGCTCTGGGACAGGGATTGCAGAGGTGACACCGGTGAGGAGCCTGAGAGTGTCAGTCTCTACAGCAGGTCAGCAGGATGAGTTTCAGCTCTTCCCCCTGCCATTGAAAGAGGACTTAGAGACTCTGACCAATACCTAACCTCATTTCCACGATCTCCTGCCCCTCCACCTGGTCTCCCATGTCTTTCATTCCCCATTCCTCTCTTTCACACCTCACCCTTCCTCTGCTCCTTGATTCCCTGCCTCTCCTCCCATCTCCCCCTCATTCTTTTTTTTCACATTTCAGTCACAGCATTTGATTGTTGTGGCTGCTGGAGGATTTTAAATGCTTGTGCTTTGCCAGTACATTTGTCCTCCTGGATGCTTTGCAAGGTAAGAACCTCAGATAGAGCAAGGCACAAGGCACACAGCCAGCCAGAGCCAAGTCAAAAGGAGAACTCAGATCTGCAGGCGCTGAGTCACCTCCTGCAAACCCCAAATGAGGTGCTTATTTAAAAAATTTATTTTCCACATATTTTTTCCTCTTTTTCTGTCATTCCTTCTCTCCTATGTTCATGTTCTCCTCTCGCTTTACCCTCTACTTCCCTTTTTTTTCAGTTCTCTCACTTCTGCTTTCCATTTTTTCTGGGGTTTTGCCAGTGAGGATATCTCCCAGGGTGTAATTTTCTTCCATTGGGCACAAGTAAGGTATTCATGGCACAAATGTCACTGACTGCTCGCACAGCCACAAATGAAGCCCCTGAGAAGTGCTGAGGACTTTCTTTCAGGAGCAGTGATATACACCGATACGGCAAAATGCCCTTTGCTCACCCTGCCCTGCCTGGTCTGTAGACACTGCTGCATTTCCAACTGTAGTTTACCTTGTCCAGCTCCACCCCTGATAGCAATCGTGGAGAGCCATAATGTAGATTAGTGCCCTGTTAATGCCACTATTTTTAGGACAGTAGGCCTGGTTTGTGGTTGTTTCATTCCTTCAACTTGAGCGCAGCAGCACAGGCTTGACAAGGGGAGAGGGGCTGGAGAGAGAAAGGTAAATAAGGTATTAACCCTCCCACAGAGAGTCTGGAGCTGTTAGGAAGCTCTTCCACCCACAGTGTCTATTACAGCAGTTATAGGACTGCCTACATTACCTTTCAGCTTTCTGTGTGCCCTGAGGAGGGCTTTTGGTCTGTAGCCCACTTCACCTTCCCAGGCGAGATGTGGTGCCACCCCAGCCCCAGGCAGGGAGCACAGCTGGGAGCCAACCTCCCTGGCCACTCCTGCTGGGGCTCCAGGCTCTTCCTGCAAGGCTTCCCTTGGAGCAGGTATAGCACCTTCCAGAATTAGTGCCAGCCTCTCCAAATCCAGAAGGTGTCTGGTCCTGACGGAGCATGCCACTGCACTCTGGGCTGTGGGCTCTGCCCCCTGGCCTGGCCCCTCCGAGAGCCAGGGCCTGCTCCAAGAACCTCGTGGCCACGCTGAGGACCCACCAGGGACCTCACACCTGCCAAACCTCCGTCCCACAAGGGATGGTTGTATACTGAGCAAGCTCAATGCCATTTTGTCATATGGCTGGTGGAGATTATTATCCACTCTGAGTCACAGGAGAACGCAATAAGATCGCAATACATATGGTCACTCTCAAAACCAGTGTTGTCTCACCCTACCTTACAAGTAGGTAAGAAACTGCCCCCAGAGGGGCTGGCAACAAGTGCTTCCTCCCAAGTCCATTTTGTGTGTATCAACATGTAATATGAAATTTGTAAAGTCATATTGATATGTGTAGATTATATGTAACTCTGCGTACTTATACAGTGATTTCTTATGGCATTGACTGTTGCACCATGTTAAATACATTTTGGTTTTGTTTGATGCCTCTGTTTTGATGTGCTGTGTTTATTTCAACTCCAGAAATGGAAACATTGGCAATACCTGGCTAACCTGCAAATGATGGCACCATCAGAAAGGTTTTTAAAATTCTTATGAGTTGATATTTTTTAATGTAAATACTTCATGTGTGATTTATGTGACATTTTCATTTTGACAGCTTGGCATTTATCACAAAAGACAGATAACACATATGATGTGTTAGTTTATCACCTCTAAAAAAAATAACCATCCCAGACATGTGGAGGAACAATGTTTGGGCTTGGGGTGATGATTATGATTGGGCTGGGGCCAAACTGGATAACCTTGAAACTTAGAGAAAAATCCAAACTTAGATCCACCATACAGTGACCCAATCCTAGTCTTCCTTGTCTACATTATGCCACCTGCTACACCCAGGCAGAGCTGGGTGAGTTTGAGAACTAGGAAAGGATCAGGCCTGAACTCAAAGCTCAGACTCATACCTGATATCCTCGTATTCTGAAGACAAAGTAAATGCAAGTTTTTAATAGAGTTCTCTGTCCTTTTTTGATTCACACAGAAAGTTAAAACCAGCACATGTGAAAGATGTAAGAGCTGGATGAGGCTGAAACAGAGAGGCTGGAATATTTCAACACAATTGCTTGCTGAAGAAGGTGGTTGAGAGGAAGACAAGAAAGGAGAAGGGAAGAGATGGCAGAATAATATAAATTAAAAGAGAACAGAGTTCAGCTGTAGCTAAGAGAATTCCCAAATGAGCAGCATAACTCAGTTATGGTAAGCTTAGCCCAGACACAAGCAGGATGAGTTTCAGCCTTCTTGTGAGCTGCTGTTGCTACTGCAGCCACACGTGGCTTTAAATACCAAACCCAAGGTCTTGGGATGGCTAGTTTTGTCCCACATGTGTGCCAAGATGGAGAGTTATATTTGGGTCCTCAGAAGTGGCCATGTTAAACACTATTATTATCTGACATGAACAATCCATTATGATGGGTTGGGCAGAGAATGGAGGCAGTTTATTCTCAGTTTAGTCCTTTTCAGTGACCTGAAAACCCACTGTATTATCCAGTAGCTCTCAGCCTGTGTCCTTGGCAAGTTTTGGAAAGTCCTCAGGATTTGTGCTTCCTCAGTCACTGTATTCTGGCCCCACTTTGGGGCATTCATTTGAGAAGCCATCCCTAAGCTGCAAAAGCCCTCACACACATGGAGCTTCCTCCTGTCACTTGCTGTAGTCTCTGGTGGTGACCAAAAAGCTGGGAGCAGCTCCTGTTCTAGTCTGGGACTAAATATGCTGGCTTCAACACATCTCCCACTCAGGAAGCACCTCAGTAGCCATCCTGGGTCTCCTACACTGTACAGCAGAGCAGCTCCTGTACTCCTGCAACCCTTGAATGCCACTTCATCCTTGCTCTTGCCATTGTCATGGCTTCCTGATGCAGGATGAGGGATCTGCCCCCTAGCAGTGGAGGGGTTAATGCTCCTTTTCAAATCCCAGCTCAGAGGATGGAGTGGATAAGTCCTTGAGTCCCGGTGCAGACCCAGGCAGCTCTGTAGAAAACACCTTGTACAAAACACAGGGGTTTTCTATCCAGTTGCAGACTGACTACTTTGACAGTGAAGCAGTGGCATGTGCTAGCAGCTTTTGTTGAACCTTTAGGGCTATGGCTTCTCATGTGGAAATGGGGGTTTGGGGTGCTTTCTCACTGGGATAACCTGTTCCAGATGTCCTGTTGGGTTTCAGTAGTTAGTTACAAGGGGCTGAACAGTAGAGGAAGGTGAGGAAGCCCAGCAAATACTTCTCTTCCTTCTGCCTTCTCTCTTTCCCCTCCCTCCCTCCCTTTTGTCCTTTCTTCTCTTTGTCTTCTTCAGAAGTCTCCCAGCACTGGGCATCCACCTCTGGATTATTGTATAGTTCGTCATGCATTTTCTGGAATATACCTACACTTCCCAGCATGTCGGGTGAGATGTAGCAACACACTATTGCAGCAGAAGTAAGGAAAGAATGTAATCCAGAGAGCCAGCAGCTGTGTCCTGTGTGTGAACAGTGAGCACTGTCACTGATGTTACAGCCTGAAGAATAAAGCCATGGTGCTTGATTCAGTGCCACAAGAGGCCAAGAGAGTTTATTTGCCTTCAGCTCCTAAAAACATTTAAGATTCAGCAGTTCCTCTGCTTTCTGCATGGTGATATTGCACTTCTCTGTAAGTTTTCCCACTGCAGTTTGCACTTCAACTGGCAGTGTGTGCAGAATTTCAGTCCAATTTTCGCATGGCTCTTCCTGCCTATCACTGTTAACACAAAGCCCTTCTCAGAACAGCTGAAGTCAAATCCCATCAGGGCAAAATCCCCCTTGGTCTACTGCTTCCAGCAAAGCTTTGCTCTCTTACACCAACCCAAAATCTGGCCTGTGCCATGCTACAGCAACTGGAGCACTTCCTGAGCCCATGGGACCAGTGTAATGTAAAGCCTCTGTAATTGTAGGGCTAGAAGAAATCCTGAGAAGGAAAACACCATAGAAACATGTCATTATTCTAATAGCCATTATTTTTTTCTCATGAGACAACTAAAATATGCAAAAGTAGCTACAGTCTGGAGGGTGCTTTTGCCGTAAGAGCAGAAACACACCATGTAGCTGGATGGATACATGGGGGAGAGGCAGCAGCGACAGCAGAGTGTGCATGAAGCTTTTAGCAAGCACCAGCACAGAACATCTCAGCCCGAGAGCTGTAGTGATCCCGGCAATCTCCTGTCCCCGAGTGCAACCAGACTTCCTACGAGCACTCGAATGGATGGCTTTGCCGGTGTCTCCTCCCAGCTACCTCATTGCAGCAGGAGGCACTGGGGAGGGAGTGACATTTTCATTCCAGTAATGACATCTTCTTGGCATTGCTCCAGTCCCCTAGGAATTCCTATCAGAAATGCAAATGACTCGGGGGGGAGTGAAGATCAGAGTTTGGAATGGAATTATATGAGCTTTAGGTGCCTCAGTTTCTCCTTCCCCCTCCTGGGGATAACGCAGTTTCCCTGCACTTCTCCTTTTAGCCAGGTTTCCAGAGTGTTGCAGGAGCTGGCGGGCAAGTGCTGCACGCTGATGGCTGTGGCAGAGCTAAGAGCTGCATCGTGTTGTAACGATATCGCTCCTTATGGCGCCTTTCAACCCAGATTCTCACCGAAACTCCTACGAAAAGGCAGCGCCAGATTTTTAAAAACGCTGTTTGTAAGTGACTTTTTCCACGCCGTTCTACTAACCCTGTGGCAGCAGAGATCTCCCTCCTAAGCTCTCTCCCTACTTTCCCGCTAGCGGAAAAATGGTCGAGGCCGAGCCGATGCTGCTTGAAGGGCACGGGTGGATGTCCTCACCTTTGCCGGTGCTGGGGCGTGCGGCATCCCCGGGGCCAGGGCCCGGCGGGTGGGGAGAGCGTGGCCGAAGCAAGGAGCTGGAGAGGGCCGGCCGAGGGAGGTGGGGCTGGGGGTGCTGTGTGCATGAGGCGGGGCTCTGCTCATCCCGGCGGAGCCTCGGCTCGGAGGGGCCGAGTCCCGCTGGTGGCCCCACGTCCTCCCCCCCTGGGGATGGTGCGCCGGGGCTCCAGAGGGGCCACTTGTGGCTAGGGGGATAAGCGGTGCCCCGGCAGCTCCCGCGGATGTGGGTCACCCGCTCCCGGCGCTCTGGAAACCAGGCCGCCCGGCGGAGCAGCCCTCGAGGGGCGCCGCCTCCGCACCCCTCCCCGACC